CCATCTTGGACTTTAATATACGCTTAATCGTTGATAAGGTGCCTTTGATCTTCAATGGATAGGGACTATGTGTTGAGAATCAGGAAGGATTATGCGAATGCCTAATACACCTTGACCAGGGCTACCGTCCCTTTTCACCTTTGCCACAGCTGCGAGCCACAAATTAGAGAGTCACAATCCTTTTAGTTCTAATTAAAGTGAATATTGTTTGTTAAATCGCGAAGGTAAAAATTTCCTGTTCATTGTGCGACTCAGAGGTACCATATAATTCATAATCGTTAGAACACAGAAAAGGATTTAATCAAACACTTTCATGGATCTCAAGTCTAGTTAACGGTAAGGCGAAATGGCGTCGCACCCACAGCCATTGATAATGGGGCATCCTCTGTGCCTAATACCCCCCACCTTTAAACAGCGGTATTTAGCCTTCTTGAGAGAGTTTAAAACAGTACTAGTAGATGAAAGGACTTTCTTATTGTTATATTATACTATTATAGTCAGCCATGCTCTACCATCTGTTAGCATTGAATGGAGCAAAACAATAGGAATGCCAATTGTGACTTGCTGCCGTGCGCCTGCCCCTAATACGAGAAGCATTTTACAATGGCAATGTCTAATTAAAAATGCGGGACTCTCGTCTGCAGTCTCAAGACATGTGGCTCTAAGACCTAACGTCCTTACTTTTAGCGCACTTAGCGTTTTCATTCTAATTCAGTCAATTCTCACTCCCTAGATATAGCAACGCCATGAACTTAACCCCTTTATTCAGTCTAATGTTTTCATTTGTACAGCACAAAGCTAAAAAGAAGAATTTAAATTTTAAAGGTGGGTTATTTAAAGCCAAGTGTAGTCATTAGTAAACAGTTTCATGGTTTACTTAAGCATGTCTACACCTGATGTGGTCCAGAATGTGTCATCAGCCACAGATTCATAACAGAAATCTACTTGGTGCTTCTTCGTGTGGCAAAAACGCAAGTGAATGATGAAGGGGAAATATTGGATATAAATAATTAACAAAATTAAAGAAAAGTTTGGTATTGTTGCTGGAAGCCAAAGAATTTATAAAGCTGTGTTAGAAGGAGGTAAAATTGATAAAAGCGATAGGAAGGCAGAAGGGCAGGGCAGCTTATTGTAAGACATCAAATCTGCATTCAGCAGCGAGGAGCAAAAGCAATCCAAAAGTCTGCCTGTCTAGCATCTAGGCATAGGAGAAGGAAGCAGGATTCCCAAAAATAATGCATATTGACCATCTGATGTATGACAACTTTGGTCAGTTTGGTGAATGCACATCCAGAGAGATAGAAAGTTTGAACGTCATTTATAGTAGTAGCTTCCATCGCAGACGTCAGCCTGATCGGCATGTAAAACACCGACACAATCAGCGGCAGCTACAGGATCAGCACCGAATTACCGTCTTGCATATCTACAAGCTACAAAAGCGACTCTGCTTTCGAACTGATGTATGGTGAAGTGCATCAAAACAGGGAAACTTTCGTCCTTCATAAGGCACCTCTTAGGAGTGTGAAGAAAATCATAGTTCTCGGTAATACTAGCGACAGTAATAGCAGCACAAAGGCCACAATTGATTTCTATATACCTACTCCCTTTCGACTAAGACGCCTCGAAAATCGGCTTCTCCTTGTCGAAACCATGGCTCAGATTTTGCGGACTTAAAAAGTGGCTTGCAAGGCATTCACTGGGACATAATGCTGCTAGATATTTTTTTGCCTTGCAATCATCAGCGTGTTCATTTCTCACCACATGCAAAGCACGTACCATGGTAAGCGAAGCAATCAAATCAAATGGCCAATCGTCAAGCAGCACCAACTATTATATGCACACATTCTCGTTTATCCAGAGGAGGCGCAACCATCCACGACCCAGTTCGCCATCGAAATACTACATCTAGAGATAACGTGTATATTGAGCCGCGTGAGTGTATACTGCAAAATGCGATGTTTTTACAGCTTTGATGACATCTCACACTTCTCAACGAGAATCTTTGTTGAGAGCCTCTGTTGTAGCACAGAACGACGCGGCGTTACTCACAAGAAATGCTGGACTAGAACATCACCAAGTGCAGAATGGATAAGTTTCCTTATCACTAGCCTACTTTGCTCTGCAAAAAACCAATTATTGTCCAAATATTGTCTTAGTATTTTCCCGATATACAAATGCCACTTTCTTTTCGCAGCTGACGTCATCAAAATGTTAGTGAATTATAAAGGAGAACTATGAATTAGTTGATGTCACACGTGTGATCGAGGCATCAAGTCTAAGTAGAAGAGTACCATAGCTTCAGTGAAGGTGTAGAAGATGGTTAATGTGTTTGAAGCATTGTTTTCTCGTGGTGCAGGAGTGCCGGGGGTAATCCATCCAAGCAAATCAACTGCTTGTGTAGGTCAAGCAAGCAGGCGAAACTATAGTGCGACGTTCAGTCCTGGTGAGGACAACTGCTATAGTTGCGCGAAAGAAGGAGTGGCGAAAAAGAAGTAGCATTCCTAAGATGATCGCGAAATTATCAGCAAAAAAAGTTTATTGGTGCCAATGATAATGTGAGGGTCGTGAGAATTTCACCGAAAGGATGTTTTGGCGATGGCACAAGGTATTTAGGAACGGCAGCAATCTGACCTACAAAGCACACGAGAGCACAGAAGGGGCCCTACGATGAGGGCAATTTGCTTGACACGAAAAATTTTAAATCGTCTGACCAATCCTGTTACCTCTATAAGCGGTATAAGTGTCATTTGCGATTATCGGTCCGCGTGATAACATTTAAGAAGGACAGTATTCGCATTCCAGTAAATCGCCAGTGTTGAAGTAGATCGCCTGTTGCGGTTGTTGCAGCATGGGACTACATGCGATTCCTGATGATTCCTCGCTTTGCTGAGAATTTAACATGCTAACTGGGGAAGTTGGTTTTGTGGTGCAAAGTTTCTTCACCAATGTGAGTTAGCGAATTCCGTGACTGACCCGACTGATTATCCATTCATTGAACTTGGTTTAAGGTGAGTCACTTAAGGTTCGCTCAGTCAGCAGTTGGAGATTAGTTGCGTTATCCTCGCCATCTTCACCCACTATATGGTAGCGATGAAAGAACCCGTGGACATGTGTCTTCCATCTGGTCAGTGACAGGTTGGTTTAAGGTAGCACAGCATTTACCCAACGTGGTGTTGAGGTTACCACGATCTCTACGGTAAGCGAGAAATGGTAATGAAAATTGGCGTGTAATACGACCATTAGAATAAAAGCCTCTGTGTCCGAGTGGCGTGAAATTTACCTGAAGGGTCAGCAGCTCAGCTCCATTGATGGCGGCTAAATGAATAATTACTTATTTTGGATACAAGGTTTGCCCACCCACTATGATTGAGAAGCTCCGCGCCACCTAAACGAACTCCTAAAGCAATCTTTTGTAGTTCTTGATGAAACGAAGGTGCACTAATTGTTGCCTACGGCCCCGCACTACAACGATCGTAACAGGCGATCAAATAAATTCCACTACACTGGGACACGCTTCATCGTTTCTTTCAAATTAAGTGAATCTTACTTTTCTTTATTCTCCAAATGGCTCATCCTCATTCTGACAAGCTTCAGGTAAAGAGAAAGGAGGTCCGGGCTATTCCTTTTTGAGCTCTGACATAAAAATATCAATTGCATATCTTAAGACTTTCCGACCCTTTATTGAATGACTATGATCGTTTCATCACTTGGCAGATTACGCTCAGTTAAAGGAAGAGCAATGGTAGCACTGCAGCCTCTCTCAATCTTCCAGTTTCCTGGAATCTTTACGAATTTTTTTCCACAGCACCTGTATTCACAAGATTTCCTCTGCCACTGTCCCTCACAAAAAAGACACTGCTTGTCATCGTCATTTCACAACACGACTGCATGGCCTTCTGATGTCCGAAAGATGCACTTCAAATGTGATCATTTAAAGCGGTAATCTGCACGTGAACCCTATGCCCTGAATATGGGCACAGAATGGGTTAAG